TCAAGTCTTTCCACGGGGCAAGTGACTCGTGGTCTCCGAGTCCAATAGGCGGGCGGCTCCAACTCTTCCGCCGCCAGTGGGCCCAATTGACCACGGACTCATGGGTGCAGTGCACGAATTCGCTAGGACTTTCCATCGTCTTTTCTGGGGCCCCGCTGAATCACTTTCTGGCTTGCCCGGTCCCGGCCTCTCCCGAACTGCAACTCTTTATGACAAGGGAGATTTCACATCTATTAACCATCAGAGCAATAGAACCGGTGCCTCCTGACCAGTTCCAGACCGGCTTTTATTCGGTCCTCTTTTTGGTGCCCAAGTACTCAGGAGGCTGGAGGGGGATACTCAAACTGAAACACCTGAATCTGTCCGTTTGTTATCGCAGGTTCAAAATGCACTCCCTCTGGTCGATCCTTGGGGGTGTGAGAAAGGGAGACCTCCTTCAGTCGGTCGACCTACGAGAAGCTTACCTGCACGTACGTATTCATCCCGACCACAGGAAATATGTGAGATTTGTGTCCATTATTGTGCGATGTCCTTCAGACTCTCCTCTGCGTCCCGCACCTTTACGAAGCTGGTGGCAGTAGTGGCGGCAACGCTCCGGCCCCTACCAGTTCGAGTACTATGCTACCTCAACGATACCCTGATACTCTCTTCCTCCCCAGAAGAGAGGGCAGCCAGGGACAGGGATCTCATACTGAGTGCCTTTCAGTGTCATGGCTTCTCGATCAATTTCGACAAAAGCTACCTGATTCCCTCTACACGCCTCCTTAACCTGGGGGCGGTGATCGACTCGGTCAGGGATCAGGTATTTTTGTCTTTGGACAGAGTACAGAGCATCGTCTAGCTGATCCATCAGGTCTGCACATGGGAGAAGGTTCCTTTATTGCATCTGTCCCAGCTGCTCGGGAAAATGGTGTCTTGCTTCAACATCATTCCATGGGCACGCAGACATTCCCGATCTCTGCAGTGGTTCCTGCTCCCCTTCCAACGTGCGGGCCGTTCCAACGAGAGACTCAAGGTATACTTATTTCCACAGGTCCGGCTTTCCCTCTGTTGGTGGACGTCCCCATCGCTCCTCAAGGGTTGCGACTTTCTGGAGCCGGACAGACTGGTCCTTACCTCCGACGCCAGTCTTCATGGCTGGGGTGCGCACCTTCTCAATCTGGTGGCGCAGGGCCAGTGGTTGGAGACCGAACGTCGGAGCAGCATAAACCTTCTGGAGCTGCGAACTATCAGACTGGCTATTCTACAGTTTCGTACGACGGTAGAGGGTCATCACATCCTGATCCTCACGGACAATATCTCTGCCAAAGCGTATGTGAACCGAGAAGGGGGCACGACGTCTCGAGCCTTCATGTTCAAGACAGAATCACTGTTCAATTGGGCGGAACATCACCTTCTTTCGATCAGAGCGGACCATATCTCGGGGACGGCCAATGTCCGGGCCGACTGGCTCAGACGGAAACAGATCGACCTGCAGAGTGGCAGCTCCATCCACCCCTGTTTCGGGAGCTCCTCTCTCATTTCAGGACTCCAGTAGTCGACTTGTTTGCGTCCCTAGCAAACGCTCAGCTGCCACGTTTGTGTCCCGTTACCCAACACCTTTAGCGGAGAATCACGACACTCTTCGGTGCCATTGGCCCAGTGGTCTCCTGTACGCATTCCCACCGGTACCACTCCTACCTCGTGTCATTCGGAAGTTGCTCTCCAAAAAGGCCGAGTTACTTCTGATAGCTCCCAACTGGCCCCGAAGGCCGTGGTACGCCGACCTCGTGGCACTCTCTGTGGACCGCCCTTGGGTGATTCCACTCACCGTATCTCTCTATGCCAGGGGGCCATCTGTCATCCTGAATCTCAGTGGTTCCAGTTGGCTGTCTGGCATTTGAGCAGGTCATCTTGAAGAAAGACAACTTGTCAGACGGAGTCATCAGTACCATCCAAGCGGCCAGACATCCCTCCACTTCTCATATCTACGAGGCCTCGTGGAGAGGGTTCTGTATCTGGTGCTCCACTCATCATGTGGATCCCACTTCTGCGACAGTTCGACATTCTCGAATTCCTCCAGGCGGGACTCGACAAGGGTTTGGCCCCCTCTACATTGCAAGGTCAAATGGCAGCCTTGTCCACGGTGATTACGTGCGCGCCCTACCATTCTCTTTCACACCATCCGCGTATCCGTGGGTTCCTGCATGGCGCCATGAATTTGCACCCCCCAATGGTGCACCGCTACCCGACTTGGGACCTTCCACTGGTTCTGCAGGCTCTAACGTCTCCACCCTTTGAACCATTGGGATCGGTTGCACTCAAATACTTGTCATTTAAAGTGGCCTTTCTCCTGGCTATTACCTCCGCCAGGAGAGTGTCGGAGCTTGTAGATCTGTCTATCAGGAAGGATCTTTGCATGTTTTGAGAACACACGGTTATCTTACGACTGGACCCTTCCTTCACCCCCAAGGTGAACTCCTGGTTTCACCGAGCCCAGGAGCTCACCTTGCTGGATTTTTGCCCTTCACCTCTTGACCACCGGGAGAAGCATTGGCACACCCTTGACGTGCGTCGAGCCCTCCGTCGCTACATTCGTCAGACCGCCTCATTTCGCAGAATGGAGGCACTTCTGGTTTCCTTCCACCCGGCCTTGATGGGACAGAAGATCTTGTCTTCCATGGTCGGCCGGTGGATCAAGGCCTGTATTGCCATGGTGTATGACTTGAACTCAAAACCGCAACCTGGCAAGATTCTGCCGCACTCTACTTGTAGTGCGGCCACTACTGCGGCCTGGGCGACTCAAGCGTCAGTGGCGGACATTTGCCATGCGGCGACGTGGTTGTTGCTTTCGCCTTTCATTCGCCACTACAAAATTGGCACTTATGCTTCAGCCGAAGCCTCGTTTGGTCGTCGAGTTTTGCAAAGTGTTCATTTGGCCTGGGACTCTGGGGGCAGTCAGCTTCCCACCTTCGGGGTTTAGGCTTGGGTATATTCCAGCTATGGATAGTGGGAGCAGCGCTCAGGAAAACAGACGTTGTCTTACCTGAACGTCCCTTTTCTGGGCGCTGCAACCACTATCTATTCTCCCCCTTGTTTGTTGTTGTTGGCTTCCTGCCCTAGTTTCTTCCACCTCTTGTGGGTGGCTTGGTAGTTCTTTGTACTTGCTTTTGAACTTTTGTTGTGCAGACTTGCCGCACCTTCGTGACAGATTGGAGGATCATGGGATTGTGGGCGTGGTCAAGCAAGGAGAATTTAAATGCAGCTTTCACTCAGTTCCTGTCAAAACCTGAGGAAGTACCCAGTTATGGATAGTGGTTGCAGCGCCCAGAAAAGGGACGTTCAGGTAAGACAACGTCCATTTTAGTAATCAGACACAGATGTACAGTTGTTGATCTGCACTAACATTGATGCTATTACACAGTTGTTGGAGTGGGACAGAGAGTGGAAGAGCTATGGTGATTGGAAAAGCTTCAAATAATCGAATCTACATCCTGGCTTATTTTTACAAGGTTTTTGTTAGAGCAGATTGTTTTCTTAAAGTAACAGTAGTGCAGGAAAAAGATTTTATTATTGCCAACCCACTGGGTTCTTCTGTCTTTTCTTGAAGATTTTGTCTCCATTTATTTTGGCAGGATAATGCTTATACCCAAACCATATTTGGGGATAAACATTATCCCAAAACTATAATCAGAACTACAGGTGTTCTGATATCATACTTTAAGTTCTTTTCTCACAGGACTTACTATTCTTGTCTCATGCTTTTTCCTTCCACTACATTTTATAGTATAGTATAGCCTTTATTGTACATCATGTTTACGAAATTGGTTTCTGCTGATCTATCTCCAAGGTCTACTCCCTTTAGTAAGAGGCAAAGGCCTATTCAGTCTTAGCTTTCAGGGACTTTTTCCACTGAATGAAAAGTAATGTTTTGATTCTCTGAATTTATAAGCATAATTGCCAAAGCCTTCATTGTTATATTCAGTCATCAACACAAACTGTCTTATAGTTTCATATAACAAACATATTGTAATATAGCTTATGCAGACTTTTATAGAACTTAGTGTCTTATTATAATACTGATGTTAAATCTAAAATGCTCACAGGTTCCACATCACCTTGCTAACCAAACCAATGAAGGAATGTCCTTAGCCATCTTTTTAGGCAGGAGTCAAAGTGGACTGATAGAGCCTGTTGCAGATTATTCTTATAATGTCTATTGCTTATCTTTGTTGCATATCTCATATTGAGATATGATCTCAAAGAAAGAAACTGCTTTAGATAATTAAATAGGTAATCATTGGTTTTATTTACTTGCTGCTCTAGCTCCAAATGACAGCAGGTGTCATTAAGACATTTAAAATTCTCACTGGGAATAGTTGTCCAATTAAATGGTGTTCATCCTATTTTGTTTTCCTATTAAACAAGGAGGGAAAACTTTTGGTGGCTAAGGATCATATTTAATATTTGGGAGGAGCTTGAGGGCTATACTGATTGGTGGGACTGATTTACATTTTTCTGGGTCATGTTGAAGATTTTTGAGCCTCTTTCTTTCCTGGTAGGGTGCCTCCATCTAGTTGGATGTTTGCAAAAACAAAAAAAACACCCCACATGTAATGGTGTCCTGGCTGTGGAACACAGTGAAGTTTGTGTGTTGCTTCATTATGGTATTTTTAGATTTTATTTGTATCCGCCTTTATTATTTTTACATGTAACAGACATATTCAACACACTTCTCATACTTTCTCCACAACAATAACCTTGTGAGGTAGGTTGGGCTGAGAGAGAGTGACTGGCCCAAAGTCACTCAGCTGACTTCCATAGCTAAGACATCCTCTTTATTATTTATTGCCATTTGTGGTGCTCTTGGTTTGCTCACATCACATTGCTTTATATGTTGCTTTGCATTCCATTATTTTACTGTTTATAATGTTTTAATTGATTATGAATCATCCATAGAATTCCTGATATTGAGAATACAACAAAAGAAATAATAACTTCATTATGTGTATGTTTTTCAGATCAAAGAGCTTGTTCTTGATAACTGCAGAGCAAATGATGGTGAAATTGAGGGACTCACAGAAGAGTTTGTGAACTTGGAGCTTCTCAGCTTAATAAATGTTGGACTGTTATCTGTCTCAAATCTCCCTAAACTCCCCAAATTGAAAAAGGTAATGATCTTGTCTGTTATTTTATTGAAGGGCAAAATACTATGAAAAATGTCTGTCTTTATGGTCATTAAGAGTTGACTCCAACTTAATAACATGCAACTCAGTTTGGAGGGGAAAAAAATCCCTTATCTTCCTAATTACTATTTTATAATGATTCTTATACTAAACCTTTTGGGACTAACAGCTGCCAGCACTACCGGATTGTCTAGTAAGATCTGGAAGGTAGGATTCCCTTTGGGTTCACAGTCTAAATGAGAGATACTATCAACTATCATGAAGGTGGCCCTTTTCTCTTGCTGTCTTTCTGTGGAACGATCTTACCTGCAGAATTAGATCAATGCTAATCCTATTAAAACTTGGCTTTCCCAGGAAGACTTTAGTACTTGATTTTAAAGTTTGGATCCTCCTTGTACTATGAATTATTCACCTAGTTGATATGATTATTCCTTCGCACAGAAAGACTTGAAATAGGTTTCTGTTATATTGTGTTACTGGTTTTTTTAACCTGTTTGTTGAATTGGAGTGTATGGTACATAGAATTTGCTATGGTTGAAGCAACATAAAGGCTTAAGAAATAGTTCCAGCCGCTATATTTTATCTTATTCATCTTCTTTGGATCCTGGTTCCAATTGTAAAATCTTGAACTTCAAAGCTTTGAAATTCTCTGAACACAATATAATTAAGTTTGAGATGAAAGTGATAAGAAAAATGCTGGAACAATGAACATGTGTAAAAGGAGCCATTCTAGGAAAGCAGCTATTGAGCTATGCATTTATTTGTGTGTTTGGGAGATGGGTTGCTACGGATGGAAGTAAAAAAACAAAAAAAATGGTTATTAAGGTTAAAAAAATCACTTTATATTCAATGGCAAAGAAGGTGCTTTAGAACAGATGACTGAACAAACATAGAACAGAACTACAACTCACAGAAGAAACATTATATATTCATTCTCCAAAGTACCATTTTGTCTTTGAGTCTGAAGTAGTCCATATCAGTAATGGTTACACTTACACCTGTTGCTAGCAACAAGATCTGTACCCTGTTGTAGATCTGGAGAATGAAACATTAGTAGTACCTTGTAGTCTCTGTGTCTTGCCATTTAGAAATGAAAATGGTAATGTGGGAGGAACCAAGCATTTAATGCTTTCAATTAATAATAAAAATATGAACTGGCAAAATTTTGATGACATTTCCCAAAAGGTACAATGTTTATAGATAAACAGATGAAATTGCCTGTGATTATAGTTGTTATTAAAACAAAAGGCATATAATATCACAGTTAGCAGCTAGGAGTACGGAAGAAGTACATTAACATGCTTAATCAATATACCTTAGAATAGAAGGTACTTGGTGTCCTATATCTCCCAAATAAGAGTATGTAGTAATTCAGAATGAAAGGTGCTAAAGGGTTCTTCAGAGTGCACTTAAGTGCATATTTAGCATCTGTCTGTTACTCCTTAAAGAAGCTGCAATTTTCCCCAAGAATTCTTCACAGGTATCCCTTAATCCTGGAAAACGTATGTTTGACTCAGACTTGCAAATGGATACCACATTCATACCTGCGCATACTCTAAAACAGCTTTCTCCTTGCAAATCCAAAGCACCTTTGGATTTGCAGCTCTGCTCCCTAGCATTTTTTTGTCACTTCATCATTAAGACATTCTTTATTGTTATAATCTTATTTGTAATAATTGAATTGAATGCTTTATTTGACCAAGTGTGATTAGAAACACAAGGAATTTGTGTCTGGTACAGAACCCAATGTACATGCAAAGCAAAATAATAACAATAATAATATCACCACCAATAAAAGGGAAAGTAAAAAGATAATAAGGAAAAATAATAATGTTATAGTCACACTACATGGGTTAATAGACCTATTATCTATCCAACATCTATTCTAAACTTATTACACTACTTTTAGTTTAGAATGCATGTTATATACAAATGCATGTATATATACACTTTAGCTACAACTGTTATAATTCTTGTCTCCAGTAGTGAAGGAGACAAATTAAATGAGAATTGCTTGTAAATATTACCATGTAATGACATGTTGGGTGAGGGATCAGTTCCTTGAATCAGCCAGGGTTTGACTTGTTAATCAGTCAATGTTGTAGTCTCTAAAATATTTTCCAAAAGGTAGGGGTATATGTGTGTGTAGAAGTAATTATAATGCTGTTTGACAGAAATATATAATATAACTAGGAGCCATGGTGGTGCAGTGATTAGAGTGCAGTACTGCAGGCTATTTCTGCTGACTGCCGGCTGCCTGCAATTTGGCAGTTCAAATCCCACCAGGCTCAAGGTTGACTGAGCCTTCCATCCTTCCAAAGTGGGTAAAATGAGGACCCAGATAGTTGGGGGCAATATTCTGACTCTGTAAACTGCTTAAAGAGGGCTGTAAAGCACTATAAAGCTGTATATATGTCTAAGTGCTATTGCTATTTGGAATTACATGTATGAACATGTTTGTGATTTTTTAAAGATGTAACAACTGAGATATACCAGTATATTACTTTTAAAAATGGAAATTCAGTATTGTATTGACACCTGCTCGCAGGGAACAGAGATTCCCAACCTATTTGGTATAGTGTGCATAATGGGAGTTTTAGAATAGGTTGCATAAATATTCAACGAGATACTTCAGTCTGTTAGGAAACCTCCCTTGGATTTGGTATTCATTTGCAGCCTTATTAAGGATACTACACTGAGATCTGTGCTATCAATATCAGATTACCCCTTCATCCCTCTAGGCCATTTAACCCAACAGAGAAGAACCTCATACATAATTTCAAAGTTTTCAGAGCCAACATCTGGGGCAGGCTCCCATTGCCAAGGCATGGTCTTTACCCTACCAAGCAAGAGAACGGATCTCTACTGAAAGAGACTGCAACCATAATTGCACAAGATTTATTTCTTCTTAGTGCTAAAGTAGTGACTTTTGATGACTTGCTGTAAGATCCACCCTCTTATCTGGATCCCATGGTTGGAGACCAATCAGTGGGATCTCTGAAGAAAGTCAAACACATCCTGAACAGCTGATCAGGTTGTGTGAGGCTCTTGATCTTTAGGTACAGTAGATCCCATTCTGAATAGATAGATTGTATTCTATTGTTTTCAGATGCTTATAAGCCAGAAATATTGCTAATCTTCTGGCTTTGTTGAAATCAGTAAAAAATGTATGGCAAACATCAGCCTCTATTCTTCCAACCAAAAAGCTGTTGCATTAAAAGAGGTAGCAGTTTTTTTTCTGGCATTTGGCCTTCAAATCACTGGTAGTTGAGGTTGCACATACAAATTTAGTGCAAAGTGTTTTACGGCCCTCATTGATAAAGAAGAACATGAATACTTTTCATATTTTTTAAATTCACAACAAGGTTATTGTTTAGAATGGAATTTCCAAGCCTATAATGGCTAATATCAGATTTTTCTTTGTGAAAAGATGACCTATTTTCTACTGTATATGCTAGATGATAAATGAGACCTTGCTTCCGTTTTCTTAGCAGAGGCCTCCCAAATCTCCAAGCAGCAGATGAACATCACTGAATATAACACAGCTGCCTATGTGGCTGACCACATTAAAAGGAGTTGTTGCTCTCCGCTGCTACAGTGTCTCTTGAGGTTCAGAACATGATGGAAGATCTGCTCATCACAGAAGTATTTTTCTTCTAGAGTACAGCTAATGCTATGGAGAAAGTCATAATCCAAAACATTGCATGAGAGTGGCAATCATGATAGCCAGTAGCAGTGTCTCTGCTGCAAATAAAACCCATTGTTGGAATTAAATTGCCCTTCTCTAGCATTACAGTTGCTATAAGCTAATGTGCAACATGAGGTAACATTTCTCAAAACTGCTGCCTCCTGTCTTTTTACAAAAGACTTTTCAGAAATACTCCTAAATATCATCTTTGATTTTTAGCATATAATCTCCAGGATCGCTACTTCAGTTCCCACTAGCAGTTGCTTCCCAAGGATGGAAATCCTACACTACAGAGTCTTAGTCTCAACTTCGATAGCTATGGGGTATGCCATAGAATTCAAGCCTTGCAGTATTTATTGTTTATCCTTCCCAGTTCCGCATAGATGTATGAAGTTTTGCTCAAAAAGAAAGTATGATCAAGTACCAGACTCTCAGATGTGAATTGGATTTGATTATTTTGTCATCCTCAAAACTGATAATGAAGTGAAGCTAATAGATCTTTGCAACTCATCAAATAATATCTAGCTCAATAAATTCAGGATAGTCACATTTCAGATTAGCTTATTTTGTTGTGTGGAGGGGGGGAATGGTTTCCCTGAATGGATCCTGGAGCTACTTGTTTCTATATAATATGTTACAATGTATGAGTATGGTTGTATGTCTGTATCTGTTTGGTATACACATTTACACCATGTTGACTATTGGCTGCATTGTGCAACATAACATTTTGTTCAGCTCGTTCAGTGTGTCAACAAACAAAAGGTACTCTTTTCCTATTCATGGACCTAGATTCCATTTCTCATGGAAGTTAATGTAATTTAATAAAGTCACTCAGCACCCAGATGGATGCCTTAATTTTCCAACATTATACCTGTGAATGGGAAACATCCTCAGTGGACTAGCTTGTTGCTGCAAAAAATGACCAATATAGTATTTTCTGCAAGAAAATGGACATAACCTGGTATCATTTAAATATTTTAAATATTTTTAGATATATTTGTAGTTTATTAGTTTTGTATATATTTCCTTCACCCCAGCACCCCATTGCTATGGTAATTATATCAGTGCACAAGTCCTTTGATTGCCTCTTGATGGCTAGCAACCCTGATTGCCAGTGCTTTTGTCTCTTTTTTTCAGATACTGTACTTTTCATTGCCAGGCAGGAGGAACTTTTTTTGACTGAATGATGCTCAAGTATATCATGCAGATCTTTCCCTGACTTTTATAATGTAGCTCCTTTCCTAGCAGTTTGACTGAATGATGCTCAAGTATATCATGCGGATCTTTCCCTGACTTT